TGTGGCTGGGTCTGTGGCTGTGGCTGTGGCAGTGGCAGTGGCAGTGGCTGACAAAAGTCGCTGACATTTTAGCCAACTAATATCCATGCAGTTATGCAAATCACACACACACAGGCTAGAGGCGACTGCCATTTTCACGTCTACCGACTGCAGCTCCTTCAGCCATCAACGTCATCATCGTTTTTGTTTCCGCTCGCCGTGTTGTAGTTGTCGTGGTAAAATCTAAGTGGCCACTTGACTAAATTAATATGACACTGCTGGAAGTGGCCCGCACTTGTCAATGCGAACTTGCCCTTTGCCTTTACCCTGCCCTGCCCCGCTCCGCCACGCCATGAGCCATTGCCTGCTGTGCGCTGCGGCTTCGCCTTCTGCTGGCTCTCCTTATCGTCTTTTGGCCAACAATATGAATAATTATGACGTCAAACTGTCAGTTGATTTGCATGCTCCACTCTGGTGACTGGCTTCCAGCTGCCGAAGACTACCAGGCCCTGCATGCCAATGGCTTAAACGGAGCACCTTACGGCCTTACGCTTCAGGCAATTGCAACGAGACTGACAATCGACAGGAGGCGACACAGAATATTCCAGCAGAATGTGTGTAATTTTAAGGGAGATGACTGAATAAGCAACAATACAAAATATTTTATACTCCAGATTTCCTAAAAATTTGCATACTCTTTCAAATCACAAAATACTCTTTCCACTCAATCTACTTCATATTGTGATCATACGTCTTTGGCTGATGAATCGTTGAGGAAGGAGAAGCCGAATCGTTGAAATTGTTTTATTTTTGCTGAAGTACTTAGTCCACATTGATTTAGAAAGATGGGCTTATGAGCTGTTGGCTAGGTATATAGCGAAACTATATCATAATATTATTATCAGCACTATTATCAAAGTACATATCGAGTATCAAAGCGAATACATAGCGATATTAATAATCATTAAGTCACAAGCTAATCAAATAACAAACAAATTAATACAAAAATATATTAAAGAGTAAAACAATTAAATAAAAATATAAATGTGTTTATAAATAAATAATTCATTCAATGAAAATACGAAAAAAGCAAAAACTTTCTTAGTCCTCACTCATTGAGATTAAAAACGAGACAAAGTTAAGTAAGCAGCTTACACTAAAGTATTTTACGCTTATGCTTTCCCTGTATTTGCATTAGATATTTCTGTCTCATTATTCATTAAAGTTAAATTTTAAATAAATTCAAAAGTTGCTCAAAGTAAAGACTTTTAAAGTCGCTAACTACTTATATAGTGGATAATATTAATACTAATATCTACAGCTCAGGCAGTCCCATTCAACTGCATTCCTTTCTTTCATCTAATATGCTAAATATAGCCATACATTTCTGTTGAAAGGAAACATGTCCTAAATAAAATCAAACACATACTTGCCCCGTTCGAGCGCAGCATGCCACACGTAGCCATATTTAATTTCCCAATGGCTGAGCTGGCTAACGCACACGCTGGCATCTCTGATGGCAGCCTACAAGCTGGCATGTCAGTGCCAACTCAGAATCCAAACTGTTTGCAGGTTGTCGCCTGTTGGTTTTTTCTCTCTTTTTTTTTTTTTTTTTTTGTATATACCTTTTTTTAGTTTAGCTCGCTTTTTGCTGCGGCATATGTCACACTTGGCGCGCAGTTTGTGGCCAGGCCAGGGCTATGAAAATAACCATAAGGCAATTGCCCAGGCTGCTTGCAGCCTTCATGGCAGAGCCTCCTGCCCGCTCAGATCCCCAGACTCCACGCCCAGTGTTTGTGGCACTCATAAGCCTTGAATGCTAAATGTCAAAGTTACTCCTTGGCGTAACATTCGACACATTGGGGCGTTGAGGTGTGCATACGTGTGTGCGTGTGCGTATGTGTGTGCGTGTGAGTGTGAGTGTTCGTAATGGCTGCCTGACTGACTACAAACCGCCTCCCGCGCCCCACCTTCAGTCCAGTCCACTGACTTCAGCCTCATCATCCCGCCAGCTTTGCCAGCCTGCCTGGTTGCTCTTGGATTACATTACACTAAGTTCTGTGCAAACACAGTTGGCGCAGTTCATTAACATGTTACATGGACATGCAGACCCTGAGCTATAGCACTGCCTGGATTCGGGGCAGTTAGAGTCGGAGTTGGAGTTGAGTTTAGTTCGCTCTACTTTGAACGAGACTCTTTGGGGTTTGTTTGTTTGTGCAAATGTAGGCGTAAGCAAAATATGCATGTAAGTCTCTCAATGCCTGCTTGTATCTGTGTGTGTGTGTGTGTGTGAGTGTGTGGGTGTTTGTATGTGCTCGGATGTATGCTTTATGCCATTTTCCACACACGTTCAACGCCCAAATCGCTCAACGCTGATGCGGAAGTGTTGCCTGGGCGCCCACTTCAAACAACTAGAACGACTCAAAGCTCAAAGCTTCAAATATGGCCACCATATGAATATAAAAATGAATGTGTATGAATACTTGGCTGTTTAAGAGTCAATGTGTCTGTGTGCGCGCGTGTGTGTGTCTGTGTGTGGCTGAGGTTTCTGCCTAAGCTGCGTATTAAACGTAAAATATAAATAATTAACAGCACACTGAGAGGCGGGAGCGAGGCTGTCGCACAGAAGAAAAGAAAAGTCGGTGCGGTTAGCACTCCTCGTTGCAATTGACGCCCGACGCGGGACGGGACAGTCTTCTCTAATTAGGCGCACTCTGAGTGCAGTCGTGTGGCTAATCAATGAGGACACTGAGAATGGATCGGGGTCATGGGCTGGGTTGGGTTTGGTTTCGCTTGGTTTCGTTTGGTTTGGTTGGACTGAAACCAATCTGCACAATGCTCCACTTAATTTACAGTTTTAATGCGTTTTGCGACTGGTTGTTGTTGGCGCAGCAAAGTAGATTTAGCCGAATTCAAGCCGAGCACACAGAGCCCTAACAGCTAGCAAACAAACTAGCAAATAAGCAGGGCATAAGGACAGATGGGCGGACGAGCGGAGAGATAGGCAGATGGATGGTAACAAGCGGAGGCTAATTCATTTGTTGGCTTCCGTGCACAAAACCAGCAGCCGTTGCATACTTTGCGGCGCAAACAAAACCAAGGCACCAGAGGCAACCACAGCCATTGCCACAATCGCAGTCGCAGTCGCAGTCGCCGTCGCAGTTGCCATTGCAAGCAGCATCCATTCTGTGGTAAATGCAGCACTCGTATGCGGAGCCGCACGTCAATGAGTCCCCGAAACAAAAGCCAAAAAACTGCATATATAGACACATATAGTAGTCGCAGCAATACCCTGGTGAGCTCTGCTCGGACTATTTGGCCGGGCTGAGCCTGGCCAGAGGCAGGCCGGAGTCTGGCCGTAAAACTCAGAGCAATTCGTTTTAATGAATCCATCCACATGCAGACATGGGCGGTCGTCCGGGCCAGTCAGCTCGTCAGAGCAGCTGATTGTATCAACTTCCTAAGTGGATTTTGCAGTCCAACTGGCATTACGCCTCTTGGCCGCAGGTAATTTCGTATGAATGAAAAGCAAAAGTCGGCACGGGCCACATCACAGCCATTCGCTAGCTCTCTATCTCCCTCGCTCTCTCTCTCTCTCGCTCTCTCTCTCTCTCGCCTTTCTCTCTCTGTACTTCTGTCTTACTCTTCTCCTCCGTCAATCTCTCACCAACAATTTATTTGTCGCTTGCTGTCTGCATTGTTGCAGCTGAGGCAGGTTTGAGCTTACTTATTCATGCCATAGCCTATGCATATGAGCAGCTCTTGGCTCTGATTCTGTGACATTTTATGTATATGCGCTGCTGTGGGCCAGCTCCTGCCGCTCTGCTTCAATACCATTCGTTCAGTCCTAGCTCCGCCATCCTTGGCTGCCAGCTTCGATCCCCAGGACCCGCCAGTTATGATTTTTGTTGCAGCAACTTTTTCGACTTTCTTCGTGGCAGCAATTCCCCGATCCAGCTGCAACCCCAATCCTTTTGCTGTGCTCAGCGGTGCACTCGGTGCAGCTTTTCACACTCATGCATTATTAAGCGGTATTTGGCCGTTCTCAGTCACTAACACCGACTTTTCCGGCAAAAGACTGCGACGTTTCCCATTCACAGTTATTTTCAGCAAGTCGAAATAGTTTCTCATGCAATTTTTATGATTCGACTTGGGAGTTGTATTGCCAAATTGCATTAGATGAAAAATGCGAGCTGCCTTTCAAATGAGCAGCTCTGAGGAAATTGGCATCAGCGAATTCAGATAGAAACACCTATGAATATAATGTTTATTTTAATGTGTAATCCAATATATGTTGATGATGTTCTGCAATAGTCTGCCAACAATCGCAAATAACATATTTATTTTTGAATATGAAATAGTATATGTCAATGATCTATCTCAATGATCTACCACTAATTATTAATATAATACTTATTTTAATTAGTATATATTATTATTTTAATATTATGTTGAGGATCTATGCGATATTATATATACTATTTATTTCATTCTGGAACTCAGCATTTCATTGCTCTTCAACTACAGGGTATTTGAGAGTGTTGGCGCGATGTGTGCCGATATTTGAATGCAGCCGGGCGTAAATCTCATTCTTTTGGGATAACAAACCATGACAGCTTAGCAAAGCCAACAGCCAACTTTAAATTGGGGACTCAGCAAAAACTGAATTTCAATTAGCTATTATGAAATGCCGCATATGAAATTAGTTGTAATGAATATAACTCGCTGCGCAGCACACACCTTCCGCTCCACTCAGCTGCTGCTGTTGCCTGGCTAATGGAAGCTGGCTATTAGTTTATGAATTACGTAAGCCTTTAGCTGCAGCGACTCTCCTTTTCTCTCTTTTTTTTTTTTAATTTAAAAACGCATTTATAGTGTGCGCATTTCACTTAGTTTTTATGTATTACGTTAAACAGCTTTAGACACTCAACTGGGCTAGGGTTCTTTTACGAGTACACATGGTGACTCTCTCTCTCTATCTTACACTACTTACGCATCTATCTCTTTTACTCTCGTTGCAGCTCTCCGGTACAGAGGAACGACAAACGGCAAAACTAATTTATGGCATTAAAAATGCATATTTTCTAGCAGTGCGTTGCCAGTTTTTATCATTTGCCAAGTGCGAAAGGCGTGAGCCACGGCAGCAGCCGCTTTCCGTTGCGGCGCTCTCTGACTGCGTGTTCGCGTTGGTGTTCGTGTGTGTGTCTGTGTGCGTGCGTGCAGTTTATGCGATCTACGAGCAGCTCAGCAGCTAAAATTGGATTCGACTGGCACAAAGCAGCATTAGAGCAACTGAGCCTGAAAATTTCCCCAGCCCCCCACAGCCCACGCCCGCTGCTTTAGCCGCTTCTTCGGCATCGTCTTCATCAACATCATTATCATCAACTGCAGCAGCAGCAGCGTCGCATGATAATTCACTGCTCTGGCCCTGGACTGGCAACGAAATGGCTTTCCTATGTGCAACGGTGAGTAAAATTTACTCCAGCGAAATTAAATAAATATCATGTTCTAAAACAGCTATACAAAAATCAAAAGCTTTAACAATTTAGGTAAAATACTTTTTTTAAAGGAATCAGGAATCATTAAAGGAACCCTGATTTTCCATTTGCAATCGAATTTGTATTAACTGCATCCGAATGCTGACTTGACCTGGGCAAAGTGTGTGAGATTTACTCCAGCTCAAGACGGTCTCCATGTTTGGATTGTGAAATATTATGATTTTAGTTATTATTATTCTTCTTAGTTTATATTTATATATGAGAGATTTTATTTCGGATATCGCCATATTCAGTAGAACTTTAAGCTCTGGCGAATTATTCTTAATATTCCTGTTTCATATGTACACCTTATACGATGTGGCAATGGCCATAACCAAGCTATAACAAGTTGTACTTCCAGCTGTGTTATTTTTTCTTCTTCCTCCTTTTTATCGTTAAACGTGCCGTTTCTCTGATATACATATTTCGCATTAAACACTCTGTCAATATGGCTGGCACCCGTTGACGGGCACTCAAGTAATTTTAATAATGTGCAAAATGTCCGCTCGTTCTGGCTAAAGTGTCAGATGAAGCGTTAAAGCGATATTTTCAGCGTATCTTTTTGATAGGAGCGTACGACTGGCGGCAGCGATTGCAGCTGCAGCGTTAACCACGTCCAGGCGACAGCATAATATTAATCATACGTCGCGTGTGCTGCAACTTAATGAATGTGATTTTTAAAACTCGTGTACATATATAGAGATGTATGTGGACAAATAAACAGCGCTGATAAAACGTGTAAACTTTGCCCAAACGAAACAAAAACCACCAAAAAAAAAAAAAAAACAACCAAGAGGACTGCAGTGCCAAGTCCATTACTGTGAGTGTGTGTGTGAGTGTGTTTACGTATGTATTAACAATTGTCCGCACTTCCGAGAGCCAGAGAGGAGAGTATAACAACAAGAAGTTGCCTGCCTGACCGAATCCAGATCCAGCGCCCATACGATGACGATGACGGCGTCGATGCTGAAAACCAATTCACATTTGCCAGCGCCAGCGCCAAGCCATCTTCAGTGCTTTGCTGTGCCGTCCGGCTAGTCTCTATCTCCGTCTGCGTCTCCGTCTCCGTCTTCGTCTGTTTTGATGCTGATTGTCAAGTGTCACCCACAGACACGTGCTTACACTGCATGACTCCGCTTGCATCGTTTCGTTTTTCTGGCACCCACTTGCAGTTGATGTGTCATGTGAGCACTGGCCAACGAGTCGAGCTGCAAACTCAAACTATATTAAATTTATACGGCATGCGTTGGCTTAAGCCAACGCAATAATATAGGATTTTGCGGTTGTGCTGACAATACGGCCGTAGCAGCAGTGGCGCATTCAAGTGCATTTGAGCGGCAATCATTTTTGCGGTTAACAAATACAAAAGCCCATTAATGAACACACCGACAACAACAGCAGCAACATCAGCAACAAGATGGCACACAATAACTAATAGAGCTGTGGTTGCACTCTGTGCAGGTGTGCGTGTGTGCGTGTGTGCGGATGTGCGGATGTGCGGATGCGTTTTGCAGTTGTCTATGTGCGGCTTTTGTTTCACTTAATCAAGCATATTTACTTGACAAGCGCTCAAGGCGAAAACTTCATGAGCTCTACAATTCCCTGCAATTGATTACCCAAAAACAACATTCACAAGTGAAAACTCAGCACAGCGAATGCAAATGCAGATTCAGTCCCGGGACAATACAAACTATAAACTATAACCAACTTCGAGGCCCCCGAAGCGCAACTTTCCATTGTAACTGACTGTTGAAGTGTGTGCATGAGTATGAGTGTGTGGAGGGGTCTGTGTGTGGGTGTGTGGACAGCGCTAGCTTGAGCTGTGGCGTTAGTTAATTGAATTTTAAATTATTCTTATCTCAAAAAATGGTTAGTTGCGCTCATGAATAAATCAGTTTTCAATTTTACTTGCTAATTTGATTGGAGACTGCCAGCGAGAGAAATAGCGCCCTGACCGAGCCGCAGAGAGCGGAGGGGGCGTGGTGAATGTGCGAGAAACTGAGAGAGATAACAAGCGCGAACTAGAGAATTGTGTGAGTGCATTGCTCAAGTTTTTAGACAAATCAAAAATTAAGCTAATAAAATGAACTGTCAGAAACTGCAGAAGTTAAGCGATGGCTTGTGAGAAACTTGAAACTTATTCATGTTAATTTGCAGAATGGGTTGACATTCCATTCCCGACAGCGTGATGAAAGCTTGAATATGAAATGCCAATTGAAAAAAGCTCAAGTTTATTCCAAATGCCCGAGGCGAATACATTTTACTGGCAGATAACGAGCTGTTGCCCCAAAGTTGCAAAGTTGAAAACTGAAGGAGCCCTGTTATTAAGGTGTAACTCAGCTGGACAATTTTCGTTACCTTACCAATACAGATGCACCCCTAACAAGTAAATACTGCTGCTCCAGATGCACATTTAAATTAACAGATAGCCTAAACTGAAGAGAGATAAGAGCATAGCTCTAGTGCCTTCTAATAAAAAAATATGTATATAAAAGAAATCTACTATGAATAATGCAAATAAGCTGAATGCAGTGCCTAAAAGTATGCAATAAAGTATGCGCCCAAGTCAACAGAGGCACTCGGACACATTGATTGCATAATATTCAATTATTAAATGTTAACAGAGCATCCACGATGGGCGTGGCAGTCGCCCCCTTTCATAACTGTGCGGCCTGGCCAAAGGACGCAAGCAGAGCACTTTTGTCAATGGGCAAGCCTCTAAGTCAGACTCACACACACACACACACACATTCGCACATAAATGACTTACTGCTAGATGCAGACACACACAGAAAGAGTGAGTGAGAGACAGAGAGATAGAGAGATGTAGGGAGGTAGGGAAGAGCTGTGCCGTGCTACTTGCGTCATCAACATCGTCAGATTTGAAGCTGCTTCTTCAGTGGAGGCCTTGGCATGCAGTCAAAACGCTGGCTCCCAGCTTCCACAGCTATTTTTCTGTGTCAGCTAGCTAGTGTGTAAGATGACATATATTTGTGGGTGGGGCGGGGGCTGGCGGGGGCTGGGATAGTGATTAGAAGCAGGGAGTCCAGTCAGGCATGCGAATGGATGCGACTGGGCAGACAAGGCGACTGAAGCATAACCCAGACCATTGACCATTGTCTGTCATCAAGTTGCTGCACTTGCAGCAGTGGCAGTGGCAGTAGCAGCTGCGCTGCTGCAAAAGCAAAATAAACAAAAAACTTAACCTCAGCACAAATTTAAGCAAATATTTGCATACCACATGTGGAGATTGAGGCAACTCTTCACATCCGAGATGACAGTGACTCGGTCGTCGAGTTGACTTCTATTTGGCCTAGATGGTCTGCTCTGGTCTGGCTCCATTCATGCAACTGAAGCCGGAAGCAGTTGCATGGTCAGCAAAGAACTTAGCCAGGTGGCTGCATCCTGCCACAAGTCAGCTGCCAACTAGCGGCTGTGGAGCCATTGAGGAAATGTTGATGCATGCATGATTTTAATCTGTTAAATGCGAAAATGCTGAAATGCCGTTGCGGACTTTTCAGCCATTGGCAATGACTGCAGCTAATGACGCGCAAAATGTTTACAAATCATTTTGTCAATAACGACAACTGGCAAGGGATATACACGCCTGATCCTTCCATCATTTGCCCACATTTCTTACATTCATCGACAGGCGGCCATGAAAAGGTCATTAGTGTGCGACTGTGTGCTCATGTGCCTGTGTGTGGGTGTGTGTGTGTGACTGTGGCACAAATGGCCATTCAATATGCCATAGAAAAACATATACACTCACACAGACACACGCACACACGCACGGACATATGATGCTTATAGCTAAAGCCAGCAGCCATAACAGCCACATGCTTTTTTCCACAACATTAACGCAAATTGCAAATAATAAAAATTCAAAATACCGTACGGATAGCTGCACGTGTTGCTGTTGTTGTTGTTGTTCTCTTTCTTGTTCGTGTGTGTGTGTGTGTGTGTGTGTGTGTGTTTGTGTATGCAGGCTCAAGTGTTGGCCTGCGGAATCCATAGCAAACCACAAAGTGAAGCTGACTATGGGCACATTTATCGCAGCTAGCGAGGCATTTTTAAGCCCACCTACAACTCATGTAGTGTAGTTCCCAAAAAGAGAAAAAAAAGGGAAAGAAAAGAAAAAGGAATTGCAAATTGTACTCTACACTGGCCAAGACTATGCGTGAGTTGAGTCACGTTCTTGATGGCTGATCTTATTAGTTATTCTTTACTTACTATAAAGTCGGCTTGGAGGATGCCTCGGGCCAGGTTTTCCTTGTGGGCCAAACTTTGATATTTATAAATAAATTGAAGAAATAAATTGATATAAATTTCTATGGTCAAAGCTAAATTGCAAACATATATTTATTTATTAGATTTAATTATATTTTTGTATTTGATTCCAATTCATTATAAAAGATATATTAATACTTAAGTGCTAATCTGTAATAATTTTTTAATTAATTTCAGAATTTAATTTGTATTTAAAATAAACACAAGAGTCGGCTTTATTTATATTTAAAACTTACATAATTATATATATCTCAATTGCGTTAAATCCAAAGTATTTGACTATTAAAAAAGATTTCACTGGTTGCTAGAGCATTCCCTTTAAGGCATTGACTGTTTCTCTTTCCTTTTCTGCGGTTTTTCTTCTGTTGCTGCTCAAGCGAATCAAAATGAAATCTATTTTATGCAAAGGCACGCAACGTGCCCAAGACTCAGACCCAAACTCCGACCCCGACCTCAGCCCTGGCCTGCGCTCAAGTCGAGATGCAGATCCCAAACCTGTACTGGAAGTAAGCCAAATCTAAGATGGAGCCACACATGTATGGTTGCCTACTTTACGGCTCCCGTGCCGCTGCCGTATGCACGTGTGTGGGTGTGTGTATGTGTGAGAGTGTGTGTATGGGTGTGTTTGCTCACCCAGGCGTTTTCTGGCTAAAAGCTTTACCTATGCATTCATGCATGCGTGCCGTGCAGCTGCCGCTGCCGCTGCCTCTTGGACTTGCCACACAATTTATGTATGTGCGAAATATGGCGCCGCATCTTAATTTTACCTTTGGCGCCTTGCAGAGCCTTTTGTTGTGCGTGAGTGTGTGCGTGTGCCTTAGTGATTTTCTTCTCGTGGCCTCGAGTATTGAAATGCATATCGTGTAACGCTTTTAACTTCTTTGAAAATCTCTTGCAGCTGGCCACAGTAATGAAATGGCGACCTGTGGTGACCTATCGATGATCTCGCCGCCAACGTCTTCCATTTCGAACGATCAAGACCCGTTTGGACAGCTGCCACCGTTACCACCGCCGTTGCGTTCCACTCAAGTGCTTCAGCCATTGAGCGTATTTCCAGGTGCCCAACCAACTAACTAACTAAATAAATCTCCTCTCTTTTGTCTGCTCTCTTTGATTGTCTCTAATGTTTGTTGTTGTTATTTGCTCGCATTTTTCGGTTGGTTTTATTTCGGTTTACATTTGACCCACAGTTTTTGTTTTTGTTTTGCTCTGCATACTTGACAGAGTCATCAAAATATATTTGATTTGTTCAAGTATTTTATTGCCACTTGAATTGATGTGTAGATTGAACTTTTGATTTTGTTTCCAGCTTAATTGGCGTTGATGTATTTTAGACTCCTTTTATTTTGATTCCGACTCCATCACTGAAATACCTGCCATAGCATACGAGACTACACGTTCTAGCACACAAACACGCCCACACACACACAGAGACTCCTGAATACCTGTAAACACACACACGCCACACACACGCGCATAGCCACAGGTATACCAAACATGCCACAGCGCGTTACAGTTACACACATTTTTGTTAACTTTGTTTAGCATTTTTCAGCTGCGCCAGCCGCACCCATTCAGGCTATCAATCAATCAACCAAATTCCATAAAAAAAACTACCAACAGTCGTCCATTAATTAAATGTCGCTCTTTCTATGCCCTCTATCTGTGCTTGCTCTTTGTACTTTCAATTTTTTGACTAAAAAAAAAAAAAAAAAAAAATACAAAATATTTGTAACATTCCATAGAAAAAAAAAAAAAAAAAAAAAACTAAAAACTTTTTCAAGTAGCTGTGCTCTGTATTGATGCTGCTATGTGTTTTTCTTTAAGTTGTTATTTTGGAAAATGTCTTTTAGAAAGCAAATAAAAACATTCATATATCAAATGTAATTTGCAGCTGCTTTGTAAACATTTTTTGAACGTTTGCCAGCCGTTACTCTTTCCACTTCACTTACCTTAGTGCTGTCCCACAACTGTCAAATAAATCTAAAAACAAAAAAAAAAAAAACCAAAAATACTGAAATGCTAACAAATTCTAACAATTTTGTGCTCTCTTCTTCTATTTTTATAAACTGGACAAAACAACAAATCTTGACAAACAATTTACTATTTATATTGAATAATATGCTTTTATGCGTTCATTTGTAGAGTGAGTATAAAAGTGCAACTGCAACTGCAACTGCAACAGCAACAAGAAACAAATCAAGTAGGATTGAGCCTACTTTTAATATATTCTATTTACGCAAAGTATTTAAACTTTTCATTTTATTTTGATTTATATGTGCAAAGTCTTTGCTCACTGCTGTTGCTCTATTTTATATATTTTTATGTTTTGAGTGATTTAGTTTTTAGTTTTGCTGGTTTTCAAATTCGTGTTAAGCGTAATCTTTAAGTGGTTTTGCTTTGACACAAGTCCTTATAAGCCTGCTCGTTATTCTTCTTGTCGTGTATGCCTTGTTCAGTGTCCAATTTGAGCGAAGATTCTTACGATTATGTTTTTGGTGGTCGACGTAAGACTCCGCCCACAACAACGTCTACTCAACTTAAGCTGACCTCGCCGCCAGTGCGCCTGCGACCCGAAGGTGCGTATTACTCACCCATCTGTTGAATATCTCTCTAATACGTCCGGCTACCCGATTCCTTGAACTAACCTCTAACTGTCGCCCACAGACGCCTATCGAGGTGATAATATAAACAACGGCCGTTTCTATCGACATTCCTTCAGCTACGCCCCCAAGCGCCAGCGCCACTCGAGCCGTGATGATCGTGACCGCGAGTCAAGATTGAGATGTCATGGCGAGGATGAAGCTACACTGCGCCAATTGCTGCTCGAGTATGTAGAACGAACCAACGAATCAAAGCAATGCCAATCAGGCAGGCGACTCCCTTTGGCCGTTGCATGCAAATGAAATGAGCACAGTATGAGCTAGGCGTGGCACTTGTGTTGCTACAGCTACAGCTACAGCTACAGCTCCAGCTACAGCTACAGCTACAGCTACTGCTACAGCTACAGCTACAGCTACAGCTACAGCTAAAGCTACAGCTACAGCTACAGCTACAGCTACAGCTACAGCTACAGCTACAGCTACAGCTACAGCTACAGCTACAGCTACAGCTACAGCTACAGCTACAGCTACAGCTACAGCTACAGCTACAGCTACAGCTACAGCTACAACTATAGCTATAGCTATAGCTACACCTACAGCTACAGCTACAGCTAAAGCTACAGCTACAGCTACAGCTAAAGCTACAGCTACAGCTACAGCTACAGCTACAGCTACAGCTACAGCTACAGCTACAGCTACAAATATAGCTATAGCTATAGCTATAGCTACAGCTTGCAGATACAGTTACAGCTACAGCTACAGCTACAGCTACAGCTACAGCTACAGCTACAGCTACAGCTACAGCTACAGCTACAGCTACAGCTACAACTATAGCTATAGCTATAGCTACACCTACAGCTACAGCTACAGCTAAAGCTACAGCTACAGCTACAGCTAAAGCTACAGCTACAGCTACAGCTACAGCTACAGCTACAGCTACAGCTACAGCTACAGCTACAGCTACAGCTACAAATATAGCTATAGCTATAGCTATAGCTACAGCTTGCAGATACAGTTACAGCTACAGCTACAGCTACAGCTACAGCTACAGCTACAGCTACAGCTACAGCTACAGCTACAGCTACAGCTACAGCTACAGCTACAGCTACAGCTACAGCTACAGCTACAGCTACAGCTACAGCTACAGCTACAGCTACAACTATAGCTACAGCTTGCAGATACAGTTACAGCTAAAGCTATAGCTACACCTACACCTACAGCTATAGCTACACCTACACCTACAGCTATAGCTAAAGCTATAGCTACACCTACACCTACAGCTATAGCTAAAGCTATAGCTACACCTACACCTACAGCTACAGCTACAGCAACCTCTGCGATTTTTCAGCGTGTTGGTTCATTATGCGTCATTTAATTTGCATGCCGCGAATTGTTCGCCGCAAAGTATTTGCAGTTAGCTAGACAAATAAATAGCAATTATTTAGCAATATGCATATTTAGTTTGTTGCCCATAAAGAATGTGGCAAGTTTTTAATTTATACATTTAATGGCACGCACACATAATCATTTGCATTTAATTTATCTATTTGGCCACTCGTCGTGCGTTGGAGCCAATGTTTTATTTACAAATCAGCAAACACGCCGAATTATTGTCAGTTGGTTTTGTCCTTTAATTGAATTGCACAAACAAAATAATTTTCACAGATTTCAAACTATTTTCGTTTCATTTTTTTTTTAGTTAATGTAAACAATATTTATTCGATATTTGGACTTTTGGTCATATTTATGCGCAAATATTTAACTATTCTAACTAATTTCCCTCCCCCACACAGATTAGCGCAAATTATGTTCGTTTAAGTGTCCGGCGCGTGTCCTTAAAATGTCAATTATTTATTGAGGGCATTTGTGTTGTGTTGTTTTTGTTGCACGGCCACCCGTAAAAAGTGTAGAGGCATAACAAACAACAGAAAGCCCCAAATATCAAACAATATTAAAAACAACGGCAAGCACATGCGACATTCACCAAAGCTCGGGTTAACAAAAAATTCTCAACAAAGCAAAGCAAACAAAAGAAAACATGCAAAAAATATTAATTAAGCCAAACGTTTTTTGATGCATAACTAAAATACAAAAAAAAAAAGCAAAGTAAGAGAGAGATAGAGAAGGAAAGCGGAAGATTTATATAAATTGTTAAATAAACGCCGGAGTGTGAACACAAAATAAAAGCCAACAAAATGATGGGCACAATGCCACCCAGGTACATATACAAAGCATTCCAAACTATTCAAATTAATTTTCATAATAATAACAAAGCATAGTCATAATTAACAGCGCGAACATTACGCATACGCCATGTATTCCATTTTCCTTTTATTTTCAGTTTTTCCCTGTTTCTGTTGTTATTATTATTTTTGTTGTTGTTGGTTAATATGTTTATTTTGCACAATGCAAATATTTTAAATTAATGCAAATTTATCACATAAACGCTCTTATTTGGTCTTCTTGCCGTTTTCTGTAATTACTATTAAGAGCGTGACTGTGTAAGTGTGTGTGTGTGCGTGTGTGTGCTGTAAATGGCTAGGCATTTAAATTTGTATATGTTTAATTAAAACTGTTTAATTCGCCTCAATCGTTTTGCTGCTTTGTTGGTTTGCTGTGCGCTGTGTAACAGATTGATATTGGTTTCATAATGCAAGCCTATTGCATTAATTACATTCATTCATATGATATCAGTGTAGAGAGAGTTTTGGTTTCTGTATACATGTATGTAAAGTGTTTAAATGCAATCGATTTTTGATTTTATACAAGACGTATGTTAATCGAATTCAAAGCTGTCGAACAAAATTGCGAGTCAACATTTTCATTTTCATTTTCATTTTCATTTTCATTTGAATATCGATAGCTGTCATTACGTAACATGGTACATAACTGTTTAACCAAACATTTCCATTTCAATACATTTCAATTGTGTTCTTGTCATCTACTTTCCACCCACAACATCAACAACAACAACTGCAACTATTACAACCACAATAACAACAATAACAACAACAACTATTTACAGAAGCCACACCCAAAGTGGTTTGGTCTTTACGCCACTCAATGAGTATGCAATTTCCATTTCCCTACTACTGCAATCACAGCAATTATATAAATAAATATATATCTATATCTATAACTATACCACTACTATCTATACATAACCATACATTATATACTACTACTACTACTACTAACTACATTTCTATCCTTCCAAGCACCAGTTATTTATTTTCTGCTCGACCCTTTGTAATATTAACCAATGCACTCTCCCATACGGCACTTCATAGACCATTCAATTGATTTGTTAATTACTTCAAATATTTAACGAGCAACGCAAATACTCCTGAAACTCGTGCTCACCTAAATTTTGCATGTCAGACAATTAAAATTCAATTAGTAAGCCTAAATTTAATTTAGTTGTTATATTGTAATTATCGCCTCTGCAGCCAATCCCATTTTTCAATTGTCAAATCTATGCGATGCGGCTGACACTGTGGCTGGGTGCCACACTGGCCCTAGACACTTGATGCGCATTGTAGGGCACTTGAGAGCAGCCACAATCTGTGAGCTGAAGCCTCTGTTGCTCTTATTGTGTGATTCAGTGTGTGCGCATGTGTGTGTGTGTGTGTGTGTGTGTGTGTGCGAGTGTGTGAATGCGTATGTGTTATGTTCTTTATGACATGCCGAAAAGTGTTCGAGTGCCATTAAGTCACTGTACACACTTAAATGCACACACCCACACACGCACACACACACACACACATGCACGCATGCACACTCGCACACTTCAATTATCAACGACAACAACAACAACAACAACAGCATTCTCGTCCAGGCAGTCAGTTAATCAATATTGAACACTCAGCCCCACTCACTCAGCAATCGACCCCTACTTTGCATGCCAACAAAGTCATAATTATCATTCAACCGCCCTAACCCGACCTCACCGGATGTGATTTAGCTGCATAAAGCCGAACAGCTCATCTGCTCGTTCAAATCGCCCTTTAAAAGTCACTCAATATTTCAGTCATGTTTGATTTAGCTTGATTGCCATCACTTTAGTAAAGTTTTGTTAAATTAATTATATTATTATTCAGTTATTTATTTGTCAGTTTGTTTTTACAAAACTGTTTAACTAATTGGCGGATTGGTCCTCTCACCACAAAAAAAAAAAAAAAAAAAAAAAATGAAAGAAAATACGATACGATATATTTAAATTTAAAGCTGCAACAAATCGAAAAACTCGTGAATCAGCTCCAATTTGTTGATTTATCCATATCACTCCATTGCGACTGCCATTTAAATTGGTGCATTATGCTTTCTGTATCATGTGTTGTCTCATTTTAGCATACAATACAAATCAAATTTGATATCCACAAACAAATGTTAATTCATGCAAATTATACAGAACTGAAAACAACAAAGAACAAATTAAAAAAAAAAACTAAAAAATTAATCAAATCTAAAATGCAACAAATTCAACGTGAACTCCAATAAAATAAAACAACATATTTTCGTAATTGCAAATTGTGTTTGCCGCAAAAAGAGAGAAAACCAAAAATAATAATTCAAACAAAAAGAAATAATATCGAATTGCGTACATTTGGTGAATGTCCCATATGCCAATTGGTTTGAACAACTTTAATGAGTATGTTACAAATGTGTGTTATATTTCCCGATATTTTATTGTTACTATTTTGTTTTCCTTTTACTAAGCTTGACTGTAACTTTGATTAGCTGAGCTGACTACAAGCGCCACTTGAGCTGAGCTGAACTGCCAATGAAGCGGGCTGCCTTATTACTCCTCTATTCACTATATATATCGTTGCCCAGGCGGCCAATATTAAGTGGCTCTCCATAGGATAATACTCTTTTATACATGTACATATGCATGCACATGCAGGTGCATTCGCCACAAAGGACAACATTGTGAAAAGCGTCAGGCTCACGTATAAATTCGCGAGCACCTTAAATGAATACAAAAGGTAACTGCAGCAGCAGGGGCAGCAACTGCAGCAGGAGCAGCAGCAGGAGCAGGAGCAGAGGGAGCAGAAATTGGCACAAATTTTATTAAATGCTCACGTATACAAATCCGTTACACAAAACCGAAAATGCTTGCATCTGACAGACACACAAACACACAAGCACACAAACACACATGCACACATACAAATACACGTATGCGTGATGCGCATACAGATTCCTATAGAGATTCGGCTATAGCCACAGTGATATAGGATAAAGATATGCATGCCAATACATTTGCACAAGCCACAATTGTTTTCATGGAGAACAATAACTTACATGGGATGCCGCTCGTTCGGGCTCTCGTTCTGGTTCTGGTTCTGGTTCTGGTTCGGTTTCTGTTTCTGTTTCAGGCTCTAGCTGTGCTGTGCTACTCGTGGTGCTGCAGCTCGTTTGCTGATGTATGCATAAAATAATCCTTTTATGCTCGGCACAACAATGTCCGTGAAATGCGAAACAATAACAATAATAACAACAGCAGCAGCAGCAGCAACAACAACAACAATGAAATGACAACATGTTGCGAATAACTCTCGCCTGCCTGTACCCCGCCACCTCCTGCCAGCCGCATAGGCGCATTAACATAATGCGCAGCCAACTCAAGTGCATGGCTTTGCAGAGGACTGGCCGGGGGGAAATGGCTCTGGCTCTGGCTCTGGCTGTAGCTGTGGCTGTGGCTGGTCGTGCAGCCTATGTGTCGTATGCGCATTGTGTGCGTCGGTTATCAACGTTATGCTTCCCGTCTGCCGCCTAGCGCCTCCCGCCTCTCGCCTCCTGCTTGCCATCTCTTTGTGGAGCATGTGCAACTGTCGCCTATAACTTTTGCCACACCATGTCCTGTTTTGTTTGTTGTTGCTGTTTGATTTTGGGCGCCACTCGCGCGTTCTGTTTGCACAACCAACAAAAATCACTTCTCACTTTCAGTCATAGATACGTACTATGTACACATAATGCTTTTTGGCTAGCCCCAGCTCAGGCAAGGCAAATGCAAACACACACACACACACACACACACACACACGCACACATGCTGAAATAGTGTGGGCGTTTATTTGTTTGGATGTCGCTGCATGCTGATGAAAATGTAAATTTTATGCATTCCGTAAAGACTAAAAGTCGAATCTAAGCCGGAAAACAGAAGTGATTACTCCACTTGGTATACACTAACACCAACTGCGGTTAGCACAACAAAGGCTGTGCCATTTATAGGTCTCTTTTGGGGATCCAAAGATGCCAATTGAAATTCTCTGCAATTCCGATAAAAATAAAAATAAATTTCAAATAGTTCGACCCGCAGTATTTTTCCGTTTACTATTTGGAATTTACTTCTATTCGGAGAGTAGCACAGTTCTTATTTACAGGTCTCCGGACTCTTCCTGCCTGGCTCATTGCTCAACTGAATTTATAGTCAGCTCAGCTTTATGTAACCAAGTGTATATTGCACTCGGCGTTCCACGCAGATCATTTATCCTTTTAATTTTGAGACTTTTACTGCATAATTCTTGCCCTAACCTAAACGAATAATGCCAACAATTTACTTTAACTCACTTTTTATGTACTTGGTGGCTTGGCTTTTAAGTTGGTGCTGTTGTTGTTGCGCCTTCCGTCGGCTCTGTCTCTCCGCCCCTCTGCGCCAGTGTCCCTCTTACGCTCTGTCCTTCTGGAACCGCAACAACACACAAATCCTTTCGTTTACTTAGAGCTCTCTGCCTGGTTTTGTTGCCTGTATTTTGGCTCTGCTTTCTGTGTTTCTGTTTTGTATTTTGTATTTCGTATTTCGTATTTCGACTTTCGCATTTCGTATTTTAAGTTTTAGTTGCAGCTCAAAGCCATAAAATTTATGTTGCTTCATTCCTCAATAATTGCATAGCTCGGTAAATTTTAATGCAAGCGGTCATAAATAATTTCGTACGGTGCCTTCGTTTGCTTGACTTGCGCCACAAAATAAATTACGTTGATACACTAAATAACTACGTAGTCTGTAGCATAATAAAAGCCAGAAAGGCATTCGCCAGCTATCGTACAACTAAAGTGCATTTTTGCTTGATATTTTCTTTAACTGTAACAAACACAACAACTTCTGCCACAACAACAACAACAACAATTGCGACAATTCTACAAATGAACAACAACAACAACAACAACAACGACGACGTAACGTCTTGGGGCCACTTTGCGTGACTTGGCGTCGGCACGTGACGTCACGCAACGCCGTCAATTGAATTGTATGCATTGCACGCATATGACCCGCACTTGGCCACGGCCACGCCCACCACACAAATACACATACCCACACACACACACACTTACACTTACACTCACACTCACGTGTGGAACGGCCATTTTTGATGGGGCGAACGTAATTGCAACTGCATTGGGGCCTGCATCGCCGTGGCGCAGTTTGCAAAAGCAAGTTAGCGTGATGAGCATGAATCTATCAGCGAAACTCGATGAGCTGCAGCGAGGCGATCGACACCTGGAGACGACAGTCGCCTTGTGCGAAATCCGCACACAGCTGCAAGAGCTGACCAAGTCCGTGGAGAGCTGCCAGAGTGAGGTATCGGAGGTAAGTGGAGCACACCGGCTTAACACCAAATTCAATTGTCTTAAATTCGATTTGCCATTATGTGTGTGTTCGTGTGTGTGTGTGTGCTTGTGTATAGGTCAAACGTGACATGGTGGCCATCAAGCACGAACTGGACACCGTGCAGCAGGTGAAGGAGGAGATTGAGGAGCTGCGCGAATATGTGGACAGACTGGAGGAGCACACGCACAGACGGAAGCTAAGACTTTTAGAACAAGTTTGTAGCTTAAATTATTTGCCATGTTGTGTAATTAAATACTTGAATTTCATTTCTATTCATGTACACCAAACCAAACCAAACCAAACCAAACCAAGCCACAACCGAACCAAAACCAAACACCTAAACAGTACAAAACAAAACAAAACAAAACAAACACAAACATCGAACAAAACGACACTGAAAAGTTGTGCTCATGATACAAATTTCTTGGAATTCAATTCCATTCCCCTATTTGTCTACATCTATATATATATATATATATATATATATATATATATATATATGTATAGGCGCAACTTTCGAATACCCCACATACAGAGACACCGGCTTTCAAGTTCACACATTTTACATGATTATTTTCAGTTCTGTTATGTTTTATATATTCTCTATTGGTTAATAAATTTTTAAGCAGAAATCTAAACAAAAATCGTTTTTTTATTTCAAGTTTATTCTAATAAGTTTTTATCAGTTCACAGTGTAAATCCAATTTGTTGGATTGTCCACCTAGTTTTAATATTTTGTTTTAAGTTGAAATCAAATAGCGATTGGCCTCATCTCAAAGAATATGACGTAACATTTTATTTTTATTTTTAATGCACACTTGTTTGCAAAGCGTTTGAGAAAACCCGCACATACCCAGCCAATCATCCCGGATCCCGTCCCGCCGCCTGTGTAGTCGTGCTTTGCTAATTGAGTTCTGTTTTTGGGCCACCTGTTGCAGGGTCTCACCTTCTTCCTCACCTACTCCATATTCTCGGCGGTGCTGGGCATGCTGCAATTTGGCTACAACACTGGAGTCATCAATGCGCCCGAAAAGAATATTGAGAACTTTATGAAGGATGTGTACAAGGATCGCTATGGCGAGGACATTAGCGAGGAGTTCATACAGCAGCTCTACTCGGTGGCTGTCTCCATATTTGCCATTGGCGGCATGCTCGGTGGTTTCAGCGGTGGCTGGATGGCCAACCGCTTTGGCAGGTTTGTAGTCAGCCGAAACAACAGTAAAAAGTATTTTGGCTAATATTGCGATACACTTACAGAAAAGGCGGTCTATTGTTGAACAATGTGCTTGGTATATCCGGCGCCTGTTTGATGGGCTTTACCAAAGTTAGTCATTCCTATGAAATGTTATTCCTTGGCCGATTTATAATAGGTGTTAATTGCGGTAAGTAAATCACTTTCCATAAATTATATATCTATATTCATTTATGTATGTCTCTCTCTCTCTCTCTCGCTCTCTGCAGGTCTCAATACATCATTGGTGCCAATGTACATCTCTGAAATAGCACCACTGAATCTGCGCGGTGGTTTAGGTACTGTTAATCAATTGGCTGTGACTGTAGGTTTACTATTATCCCAGGTGCTGGGCATTGAACAAATCTTAGGCACTAATGAGGGCTGGCCCATTCTGCTGGGCCTGGCCATATGTCCAGCAATATTGCAATTAATATTACTGCCAGTTTGTCCCGAGTCCCCAAGGTATTTGCTCATAACCAAACAATGGGAGGAGGAGGCGCGTAAAGGTAACAGCAAACAGCAAACAGCAAACAGCCAACAGCTGAGAGTAAATGGTAATCAAATTAATTCGCTTATTTTGGCAGCACTGCGTCGCCTGCGCGCCTCCGGCTCCGTGGATGAGGACATTGAGGAGATGCGCGCCGAGGAGCGCGCCCAGCAGGCCGAGAGCCATATATCGACCATGGAGCTCATTTGCTCGTCTACGTTGCGTCCGCCTCTGATCATTGGCATCGTGATGCAGCTGAGCCAACAGTTTAGCGGCATCAATGCCGTCTTCTACTACTCCACGTCGCTCTTCATGAGCTCCGGGCTGACCGAGGAAATCGCCAAGTTCGCCACGATAGGCATTGGCGCCATTATGGTAACCCGGCTGCAGTTAACCCAACCAAGACTTGACACACTCACATGAATCCTTGCTTTCAATACAGGTTGTCATGACTCTGGTGTCCATTCCGCTAATGGATCGCACTGGCCGCCGTACGCTGCATTTGTATGGACTGGGCGGCATGTTCATCTTCTCCATATTCATAACGATTTCCTTCTTGATCAAGGCAAGTACAAGGGTTGCCATCACTCTGCATAAATCCCATTTAGCATTTGGTATTTTCAAGTACGGCAATTATTTGCCAGCAGTTTTATTTTTAGCATTAGCATATATTGCATATTGCATTTGATTTGATAATGATTTAAAGACGCTGTCTACATATTTTACATCTAATGCTACACGTTCTATACTTGTATGTTTTGATAAATATTTGAATATTGACATCGATATTTTATGCATGAAGTTGTGTAGACCCCCTTTGCCAACAAGCCCTAGAGTAAAACCTAAAAAAAATAAAATAAAAACAAAAAGAGAAAGAGAAAAAAAAAGGGCGGGCATGACAGTTGTCCCGCGCGTATATCTATAAATTATTGATGTGAGATATGTATATTTGAATTTATAACAAACTGAATTTATAGCTGCGCCTCTGCCAGCAATCAATTTGCCATACCCCTCGATCGCATTGCATTTACTGCAATGTGCCTTGTAGAAATACGTTTAAATTAGTGAAAAAATATATATGTATATACTATGTTATTTATGGGCTACCGCTAAGCCACTGCAATTATTAATTTTGTGTAAAATATATTCTCAATCTAGCACACATATTTAGCATGCAATGCACCCAGCAGACACAGATTTAATTTATTGCTAGCTTTTTTACAGTTTTACCTTATGTATTAATAAATCTAGTTTAAGCTTTAAGGCTCCCTGTACATATAGTATTTATGATTGCCATTTTTAATATGATTAATATGAATATATTTCTAAATATGTTAATCTAACCTAAAGCCTGTTGCGTGTCGCCCGTTTTGCACCTAAAGTCAACTTTGTTGCTTGCCTCATACAAAAGTAGTTTTTCATTGCAACGTTTCTATATTGTGTTGTGCCTAGGTTAAGTTGTTGCCTAAATGAGCTGCCCATTTATTCAAGTATTTGACTGAGTCTAGCATGTGAGAGACACGAACCAGCAGTCGGAGCTATCAGCCCATGAGAGGCTTGGCTCCAACTGAACGCGTTCAGGGGGTCAGCTCATTTGGGCAATTGTCTCGCCCCTTATTTAAAAGCTATTCTCGACTTGGCAGGCTTTTGCCCCCACTCACACACACACAGACACAGACACAGACACACCAACATATTTGAAATTGATTTGTTTTCCTATTTTGATTAATTGACAAAGAAAAGCAGACACAGTTTCAACAGCAAAGACAATTCACACGATTTGCAACTTGCAATTTGCAGTTTTTCCGGGCACCAAAATGCAAACAGTTCACAACACAGCCAGCCGCAAGCCAGTGTTGGATAATGTACAAAGCTGTCGCTAAATTGATTCTAGAGCAGAACACGCGCTGACAAACGCTTCAAAGGCCACTTTCAACACACAAACCTCACACTGTCACACCGTCAAATGTGTCCACACGCCGCTTGATTTATTTAAATAGACTCGAACTAAATCCTTATCTATATAATACTACTTATTTAAGATATACATACATACTAGTATTCTCCACTACTTGTACTTTAAGCGTTCTCCAAAGGTGTTACAGCAAAAGAATAAAAGCTCAAGTGACAGTTTGTGACGCGACGAGAACGATTCAACTCTTTGAGAACCAAGATAGCAACTACTTTTACAGTATCTTAACTAAGTATATGTTCCAGTGGACTCTAAGCCCAACTCATGCACATAAGCGCTCAGACTCATATTGTGGTAGAGGGTTTAACTTAACTTACATTACTTTACGTTTCTGGTCCGATGGCTGACCAAATTCCTTGATTTGTTTTGGTTTGTTATCAACGAACAGTTCGTTAAACATCAAGAATATATATAAATATATGTACTGCATACATGTACATATATTTGCATATATGAGAATGAAACAAAAAGCCTACAAATCATCGAGAACGCGAGTACTACGCATTTTGTATAGGAGTTTTTTGGTTATGTGCAGGAAATGATCGACTGGATGTCATATCTGTCCGTGGTCGCTACGCTCGGCTTCGTGGTCTTCTTTGCCGTGGGACCCGGCTCCATACCCTGGATGATAACGGCGGAGCTCTTCTCCCAAGGCCCGCGGCCCAGCGCCATGGCCATAGCCGTGCTGGTCAACTGGATGGCCAACTTTGTGGTCGGCATCGGATTCCCCCGAATGAAGGTGAGTCGCTATATATTGAGTAAAATCATGCATAACCTATTTATATTTCCTCATTTGTGCAGAACTCACTGGAGAACTACACATTCTTGCCATTTAGCGTTTTCTTAGCCATATTCTGGATATTCACCTACAAGAAGGTTCCTGAGACCAAAAACAAAACCTTTGAGGAAATCTTGGCCCTCTTCCGTCATAACAACGGCAGGTATGTACGCGCTTCCATTCAATCATAGACTTTGCACACAGCTCACTGCGATTCGATAACTACATAGTTCTGACTGTAATCAAACCTAAAGAGATTAGACAGACGCCTATTCAATGCCCCAGAGCAGCTCAGCCACATTTCCACAAATCTATTGTAACTAAAACCTCTCCCTAAGTGAAACGAATATCTTTCCTTCAATTATGTACTTGGAAGTTTATTATGCGGTATGCATAGAAGTCGTGTGTAGCCCGCCAGCTATGCGCCTAAGTTGTTGAATTTTGAAATTTATATCTTGTTTATTTTGTTGTAACTGATTGCGTTTTAACGACTGTACTGAAAATAATACCAACCATGTCCATTCTATGTATGCCCGAAACTGAAGGACATTTCGAGATAGTAGACTGTACGGGTAAGTTGCATGAATTTCAGAGAAACTGACAAAACAAAAAATGAAATCAAAAACAAAAACAAACTTAATAAACTCCAGATCGAAGCTTAAACAAAACTACAATCTGAAGCGTTTCGCTCTATTTAAACGTAGCTCGTTTGCTGTACTTTATTAGTTCACTCTAAAAGCAACTTTATTGTACATTTTAACTAATTAAAACAAAACAAAAACAAAAACAAAAACAAAAAACAAATCAATGAAATTCTATGAAAACTTGCGCTCAAAGTTTCATACTTTTTCGGCATGTCTGCTTAACTTTGCCTGTTCTACTCGTTACTTTTGTTACAAATTACAAATTACAAATTACAAACTACAAATTACAAATTACAATAAAAATAATTAACTCTACTACAACAATCAATTAACAGCTGGCTACAGCTGACAAACTAATTAATCAATACAAGTTCATATTTAGCAATTTAAATATACAAATTACTCAAATATTTCATATGAATTTAAGTACTCTGTATACCCTTCTATTTAAATGCCATGTTTCATTATCAACCGTTTTGTAATTCTCTATTCTATCTCTCTCATGTCACCACCACCACCCCAAAATGAAACTATATATGTATGTATGTATGCATATACATATATACATGTATTTCAATCAATTCAATTTCTAATTCATGCAGCGCCCCTACATCTAAACAATCCCCCTCCGAGTCTTTGTCCTGATTGCTCATTGTTCATTCTTAATAAATTGGTTAGTTTAAAGCACCACAAATTTTCAGTGTTAATAACAGAGCACAACAACAACTGACAAAACAAAAACACACACGCACACACAGCGACACACACACACACAGACACACACACACGCACACACACAGTCATATAAGTTAACAAAACATTTTGATTATGTTGCTTGTCCATTTAGTGGGGAGAGTGTCAACGGCAATGGCAACAGTAGCTCCACAGCGGACATTGAGATATCGCAACGTGACTCCAATGCAACGCGAACCAAAGTGCAGTAATGTAGGGCAGCTGTTGTCCCCCGCACATTGACGCCCACGCCCACGCCCATGCCCAGCCCATGCCCAGTTGCAATGTCCTTGCAAATTTAATTGGCATTTCAATGTGTGCACAAGGAAACAGTCGCAATGTCAACAGTCGGAAATCACTTTTTTTTCCTCAATTTCGCTCGAGTTTCGAAGTGGAACTGAGCGGAAAAGTTTGCTTGCGACAGCTCTTGCGATTAGTCTTGTTTACTTTTAATTTATTTGATACGTTTTAATATTAAGTTCTCTTTTGTTTTTCAACTGTTTATCTAAATAAATATTATCATAAGTTATTTGATTTGTTGTTTTTATTATTTTTACTTTGGTTTTGCTTTTCGTTTTCATGTAGCGACCGCGCCTAATAACTTCCAAGCCAGCTCAAACATATGCTCTAAGTTCTTTCAGCTGAGGCTAACCCACCTACACATACACACACATATACAGGTGTAAAGAATACAAGGTCCCGATTTTGATCGCCCCACCTGCTCCTCTCTGTAGGCGTACGCGTATTATGCCCAATGTCTCGTAATGCTGTCATTAGTTTGCAAAAATTAAATTTTAAATACGTTTACACTTAAAACATAATCGTAGAGTGTGCGAATTTCAGGAGTATGCTAAACTGCACAAATAGCTTGGAGCCACAAAGTATGAATTCTGGCATCGAGCATGCCGCATTGATGGTATCTGAGGAGAAGACCCAACATGACTCACGTAAGAATTTTAAAAACGAATTACAAACTGCAAGCAAAATTCCAACTTACGTTCTTAATTTCAATCTATTATTTGTTGTGCAAATTGCTCGTTCAATAAAAACAAAAACAAAAATACAAAAAAAAAAAAAAATTAATACAAAAATGAACCTAAAAACAAACACCAATGAAAACAATACACTATATTTACGTATACATGTTGTACAACAAACACAATTACACACATCCAACATAATGACCTCTAGGTAAACTGAAAATAGATGTTTAGCTCGGCCTAAAACAAAAAGTAAACCCACTTACACTTGTAACATGCACACCAATACACTCATACATGTACATGTATATATGTATATACATTTATATACACCTAAACAATACAAATAAATACAAACATATTCAACATGCCGCCATATTAGTGTTAAACATTGCGTATACGCAATGTCACACCCAGACACAAGCAGCGACATGGTGAAACTCTCAAAAATAATACACTAAATTACGCATTAACACATATTTTTAATAATTAATTAGCAAACATTTCTCTTCAAATCTGAATTTCAATTTCCATTTTAATTTCCATTTAAACATTTTTTTTTTTTACTCGAATCCACACATTTCCAGCCATTTCGATGTGTCTAACTCGTGAAGCATGCAACATGGCATGACTTACGCTCATAACATACATCTCTTAATATTTATTCCTACAAAATTACTATTTATTCAAAATGTATTATTAAACTAGTTGCAATTGTAGTTCTTCTAAAGCCTTGTAGTTATATATAATTATAGTTTTCTTTTTTTTTTTTTTTTGACTGATTGACTAACTGACACTAATCAGAGAAATTTAAAATTATATACAAGTATTTTGGTGTTGAATTATAAAGTATTAAGAAAGAGCCTTAAAAATATAAATCTAATAAAAAAAAACTTTGATCTTTCTATAAAATGCATTCAACCGTAAGATTTACTAGGGGCAAATTATTAGGAAAATATATAAGCTGAACTGTTTCATTAAGACCTTAGATGATCATTTCTACTCATTTTCCTGGTATAATGGTTTTGTTAAATGTATGTAATTGGCAGAAGGATACCATAAGGTATCTTCTTGATCAGAGCGACGATCTATCTGTCCGCATGTCTTAATGTGTCGATCTCATTATAACAGCTAAAGACTTGTTTTTTTTTTTTTTATCAGTTGTATCAGTTGATACTATGTGGGGCTTAGGAGCAAAGGGGCTTAGAAGCAGAGGGGGCTTAGAAGCATAATGCTAATGTAATGCATCATCATCACAATTTATATAAATATTATTAGTTGCTTTTGGCTTTTTCTGTTATGCATGCTTGCCCTCAAATCTCTTCCTTTTGGCAATTTAATATTAGCTTTTAAATGTTTCAACTATTAGAATATATAAGTATTAAAAAATTTGATATAATTTTAACCATGCCATATTTTTCGTTTTAAAACTATTCATAATTATCTGGGAATATTTGAATTGTGCTGCTAAAATTATAATAAACAAATTCGAAATCAACGACAACAATTTACATATTGGAAACCAATTAAATAATCAACTGGATTTATACACAACTACAACTACAATAACAACAACAACAACCACAACAACAATACTACCATCATTCACAATATCAAATAATAATAATAAAACATGAACCTACTGTATGTAACCGATTGGGAAACGTCACTGATTTATTGGCGACAATCTGAATAATGCATGAACCAAAAACAAAACCAAAAACAAAACATTCCAAATCAATTTGTTGCAAATTATATACTAAAGTCTTTGGTACGACTTCGTTCTCGTTGACGGTTGAAGGCATGGGTCCATATCCGTTAAGTGATAGCACCAATCTCTTGGGTCCAACGTCGACGAGCTATGCGAGCGGCGGTGTCGGTGTCGGTGGAGCCGGCTCCACGGCCTGCTACACAAACTACGGTACAAATATACAAACGCCAGTTCCTAATCGCAAATGCTACTACAATGAGTCTGACTACGGGCGAGACGATAGCTTTCGCAGGCACTCGGCGCATGGAAGAATGTCATGTAGGTTAACAGCAACTACACTAAGAGACCCTAAGCCACATTCACAGAGTCCCCAATCAAGCAATTTATAAGACACCAGCTATTGGGCCACCAGCCACAAAGCATTTACATGAAAATGCCTCGCGTGCCGCTTGGACAAGACTTAACACACAATCGCACCCAGCTCGTCAGTTAACCAGTTAACAATATCTGCTCGTATCACTAACCTTCTAGGCTAAGCTGCAACGAACTGCAGAGGGTTCGCTCTAATGCTGAGAACCTTGGTTGATCAACTGCTTTAAATATATATATCATTTTGGTTTGTTTGTTTGTTTTCTTTTCCTATTGTTTCCCATTATAGTACGCAAGTGAACGAGAACTCGGGACCTGCCTAAACCTTGTTGAGCAATAACATTGAATTGGCTAAGTAAACAATATCTAAAAAAAAAAAATAATAAAAATAAAAACCAGCACCTTTCAAGAAACCACTGTACTACATAAAGGGTGCCAATAATGCGAGCAAATTAAAAATCATGCGGGTTATATCTTGTATTCAAAATTGTCCGGGAATAACTTTGAGAACTGCTTTACAAATCACAATTCATTTCATTTCCATAAGTCATTCAGTTGCTACGTTTTTTAGGCTGCATGACATTCGCTCGAGGCGAGAAATCATTTGTAAATTGTAAATCGAAATAGATGAGCGCATGTGTATTATTGGCATGTACTTTTTGCATGCACTGTTAGACTTAACCACTACTACAACTACAACTACAGCTAAAAGTAAATCCAGCCAGAAAACTAATAAACTAGCTCGAATAAATAAGAGAAATAAATCGAATTGAAATCAAGTTTTACTGGAAGCTCTATTAATTGGAAAACTGTTTCGATTTTCATTTTGTTCTTTTGGCACTTTTGCGCTTCTTGTAGCTGCATCCGAGCGATTTTTAGACGGCGGCCGAAGTACACACCAGGGCCGGAGCGCTGCCTCTGCGCCCCATCACCTTCGTCAGCAAGCACCTGCCTGCCAGAACAGCGGGCCTTGACTGAGGAACGGCTCACCTCCTGAAACTGCCAGTGTACATTCAACGAGTCGCGCTGAGGAGGAGCACCAGCAGCACCAGCAGCACCACCAGTCCTCCTCCTCCGCCATCAACTCTGCCGCTGCAGTAGCAGCACAGCCCCAGCATCAGCATCAGCATCAGTCCTGTTACACCTCACACGATTACGTGCATTGTAGCTATGAGAAAGATATCGTATGTGATCAAGCGCCGCCGCTACTGTCGAACAGCAGCCAACACAAGCATGAGCCGCCCCAGCAGCAGGAGGCGGCAGCCGTCATCTCGCATTGCCATCAAGCACAGCAGCCATCGCAGCGCAAGCACAGCCACAGTCACAGTCCGCATCACAGTCGCCACACATCCCCGCACAGCCATCACTCCCACCTGGGCCAGGGTCAGAGCCAGCAGGGTCAGAGGCAGTCACAATCGCACTCGCACCATCATCATCGCCGTCGACGCCGGCAGCACAGCGTCGCTGCTGTGGGGGGCAGCGGCAGCCTGCCTGGCGCCCACACCCATCAGTCGTCCTCGGGCGGCGGGCAGAGCACTTCGCGGCATGTGTGCAGCAGTCGGCGCCATCGCTCCGTCACGGATGTGTCCTGCAGCTCGATTAACGCCTGCCAGGATGCGGCATGCGCCGACCGCGAGGTGCAGGAGATAATGGTGCGCAAATCCTGCTGCAGCTCGTCCCGCACCGAGCTGGCCCAGTACTTTGCAGAAGACCTGTACGGCACTTCGTCGCGCCGGCCCAGCTCCTGCTGCACCAGCTCCGACTACTGCTACCAAACGGACTCCACTAGCCTGTACGGCTCGCGCTCCTCCCTGAGCCGCAACAACTCCATCAAGTCCGCATCGGCCGCCATGCGCAAGCAGCAGCGCCTCCAGGCGCGCCAGCCCAGCTACACGTCAATATCCTTGCGGGGCCTGAATGCCAGTCGGCCCAACAGCCAACTCGGCTCGCTGACCTCCATCTTCGATCGGGCCAAGCAAATCGCCGACGAGAGCAACCAGGCCGAGCACGACCAGCGCCTGGCCACGGTGACGCCCTCCCGCAGCTCCACGCTGGACCGGCACAGCTCGAAGGGCGCCCTGAGCAACGATCTGCCCGAGTATGCCTGCTCGCCGTCGCCCATTCGCTGGAGCTTCCTAGCTGATGGCAAGTCGCCCACTGAGCTGGAGCTGGAGGGCGCCGTGGGTGGAGCTGCTGAGGCAACGGAGCCGACTGCGGAGGATAAGATGGAGGCCTGGCACGTGCCCCAGCCGGAGATGAAGCCGTGCCGCAAGCTGACTAGCAACACGGAGACCAGCAGCTGGAAGAGCTCCCTGTACGATGACAGGCCCAGCACCTCGGCAGCGGCACGGAAGCGACGCGGCAGCAGCTACCACTGCGAGTTCGAGGAGTCGACGACCATACTGTTTCACCAGGACCAGGAGGGGGAGCCGTACAACAACTGTTGCAGCAACTACATACAGTGCAACACCTATCTGGATCAGGACCTGCAAATCACCAGCGAGGACATCCATCAGTACCTGTCCAAGGGCAATCCGATGGCGGGCGATGTGCTCAACAATTCCAAGAACTATCCGTTTCAGCCCAGCAATGCGCTTGAGTTCCAGTACAAGAACAACTTTCAGCAGGGCAACAACAACACGAACAACAACACCAACACCACAAACACGGCTTCAAGCGACGCTGGCGAATGCTTCCATCGCTACGAGCGCAGCTGCCACGCCAGCTCCAGCAAGGAAACAAATCTGAATCAGAATTCAGGTGGGGCTCAGGCGGCGCTGGAGCAGGAGCCGCTGTCTCCCAGCAATATCAACCTCTCGAGCAGCAGCAACAACATCAACATTGTGTTTGGCAGCGGCGGCCAGGAGCGGAACGCCAACGAGGTGAAGTTCATCAACAACCGAGCAGGCGAGCGGGAGCGGGAGGGCGAGGCGTCGGTGAGTGCCGAGGCGCACCACGCCGGCTACCTGCCCTACACGTATCCCAGCTACGACTACTCGAACATGTCCGGCAATTCGCACTTCGAGAAGCCGCTGGCCATCGATGAGCTGCCCAAGGAGTTTGCTGGCATGCACCTGGACGGCGGTGGCTCCACGACCAGCGAGCATTCGTCATCGTTGCACTTTGACTCGTTTGACGCCGCCTCGGAGCAGAACTTGCTGTCGCAGCCCATGTCGCCGGGGTCGCCAGCATCGGTTTCAGTCAATCCTGCTGCCGATGGGTACATGCACCACGCCCACTTCGATCAGCATCAGCCGCATTATCATGGCCAGTACACGCATGCGCATCAATTGCACCCACACATGCACAGCCACGCACACGCCCACGCCCACGCCCATGCCCATGCCCGTGACCATGACCATCACAGCACCAGCACCATCACCAGCACCAACACCAACACCCACACCAACAACAGCAGCACGCTCCACTATGGCACCCACGACCTGGCCGAGGACCAGTTCCGGCTGGGCAACGCCCTCAAGAAGGTGCGCAAGCGTGCACGCAAATACACAGACTTCCTGCGCAAGAAGTGAGCCGGGACCGTGAGCCAGACCCCCGCTGATCAGCCTTACTATTCCCATCCCTAGATTCGCCCTACTTTGGCCGCAAGTATGTGGTCGTCTCGAAGTCGCGGGCGACGCAGCCGCGGCGCTCGCAGAGCCTGGATGAGGATTAGCTGTGGACGGACCATTCGATTGCATTCTCAGCTCACTCTATTCTAAAAGCAATAATTCAACATTTTTCGTCGACACACACACACACACACACACACAGAGATCGCGAAATGAATAAATAACTTAAATTTGTACACTGCCAAATGATAAAGATGATTTAAATAATGTTTATTTGTGGTAAGCTAAATTGTATTGTGCGATATACACACACAGACACACACACACACACAGACACAGACACACTTACACTAAGGCAGATTAAGTCATTCGAGTACGGCAGCCAGCTACCAAATAACAAGAAGAACAACCACAACAACGACTATTTTAAAAATACCTAAGCTAACAGTGCGTATACATGATAAGTATGAAAATTTGTATATTCAACTTAAAGATAAGAACAGGTTTTGAATTTGCATATTTAACTTAAAGATAACTAAAACAAAGAAGAAGAAGAAGAGAAGAAGAAAAAACAAAATCTGAAGCAAATGAAAATAATAATGCACAACTACCAAAGTATAGTTTTAAAAGAAGCAAAACGAAAAACAAAATGAAGAATTAAACATCTTTAACTAATTATTTATTAGGGTAAGTGATCGAAGGAGCGCTACAAGATTTAGAGTTTCAGCAAATGCAGTAAGAATAACAACAACAAAATATTAACTATTTAACTACTACAAAATTATTAACATATGCAAGCAAAGCAAACAACTGTAGCAGACACATACAAATGCAAGCTATTGAGCATTCCACTAAGTCAGTAAGTTAATCTTAAATATCGCATATAGGAAAGTGATTTTCGTTGTTGTTCTTTTTTTGGAATTATTTACAATTTGATAAGCGAGTTTTATGGTTGAAATTAAAGAAGTTTCTTCAGGGAATGCTTGCAATTTATGTATAAGCAATATGCCGTGTTGCTCAAACGACAATTGAACACTTTTATTATATTTTTAAAAATACCAAAATTTCATATTAAATTAAGATACATTTAAGTTTTCCCTACATTTTCTATAATTTCTTTAAGTTTTTGGTTCAATTCGTGTTTATTTTGCAATTTTTGTTGATTGCATGGATCCCAACAACTGTCTTCCAATTGTATTTGATAGAAATATTATAGTTTGAATTTCTTTAAATGTAAACAATTTATATATATTGATTACACACATACACATACACATACACATACATATATAATTTGAATAAATTATTCAATCGAACGTACCTTGCGTGACACAAATAAATCAATACAAAATTAATGGTAAACAAAGGACGAAGAACTGTAAATATTTGCTGTTAGTTAATCATTAAATTAATTTACAGATAAATTACATAAAGAAAGTAATATACTTAATATAATTTGTAGTTATTAGCTGTAATCATAAAAATAGGTAAACCGGAATAATAAATATAAATGCACTGCCAAAAAGGTTTTATAAAAGTAAAAACAAACAAACAACCACAAAATAGATCGACGACGAGAGATCGATTGAAGAAGAAGACGAAGACGAAGACGAAGAAGATGATGATGATGATGATAAAACAATAACTGTTGTAAATATAAGAATGAATACATATAGAGAAAATCATAGACATTTTTTAATGGCACATTAAATAACGAGGAGCATGCGACTTGCAGATTTTTTACATTATTTTAAAGAACTAAGTAAAACACAACAATAAATGAATTACAAACAAATTCTAAAAAAGAAAAAAGGAAAAAACAACAAAAAGAAAAAGCCACGCGGCAGCGATTTTGTAGCAAAATCAAAATCAAAAGGAAAATGTTAACATTGCATAAAACTTAAAAATAAAATAGAAAAATAAATTAATTAAAGCCAAAAGCAAGACACAAATAAATTAGTTAATAATAAAAGGAAAAGACCTGCGCTAACACGAATACGAACGATGTTAACTGGTTGTGAGTTTGAAAGGATAAACAGCCGAGATACTTCCGATCGGGGGAGTATCTGGGATGCATATCACTTGAGCCGAACTAGTCTAATGTTGTGTGCACTAGTCAAATGCAGATGTGTAAATAATACAATTGGAAACCCAACTTAGTTAATTGACGCCCATGCAACTAAATATACACACGCAATGAATTAACTATGCAACTTAACGACAAATTAGTTCATAACGACAATGACAGCAACCAATCCAATTAACGATGCATACAATTTTAATGTTCACTGAATGCAAAAATTAAACACCGTGAAGTTCGCGTAAACAAAACAAAATTAATTTAAAACAGAAGCAAAACAAAATAAAACAATTTATGATAATCATACACAAAGTTGAAAGCAAAACACAACACAAAATAATAAAAAAAATGCAAAGAGAAAACATTTAAACAAAAACAAAAATCCAAAGGACAAAAGTTTGGTTAACAGAAACAATTAGACGAAAGCATAAAAGAGAAAAACAAAGTAAAAGAAAATGTGAGAGCCGTTAGCAGAAAAGTTATACCCTTACGATGGATCCATAGAGAGGATTGGTCGATTCCCTGAACCGGATGGTTTGATTTTGATTCACTTCTTAAAGGTTTTTTATGATTTGTGGGCGGAGCATAGGCGATAGATACAGTTAATTCAATATGTTCTAGCATTTGTCATAACAATATATAGTTGTGTACATAACTATTTAAAATTATGTATTACCATACCAGGGGAGTTATCTTAAGTATATAAATACATGATAAATACTTATAAAGGTGAATAATTAGGCACAACTATACATAGCCACACACACACACAAACACCCACACACACACACAAACACCCACACAACACATGAGCACACAGAATATTAGACAAATATGAGTTTGCGTTAGTTAAAGCAAAATGGGCAATGGAAAATAATAATTAATAATATAATGATATACAATAATAAACTTGAACTAGGTATGTAATTATGAATTTACATTATTTTTAGCAAACCCAAAAATTACAAATTTAAAAACCAAAACAAAAAACAAATAAAAATCCAAAACCAAAAACAGAAACAAATAATGAAAACTCTAATACCACTTAAATGCAAGAAAGAAAAACTTATTGAAATTAAATTGATGAATTAAGTAAATAATTGCTCAATTTAGCAAAGAGTATAAATAAAGAATTATACGTTAAGTAATAATTTCAATAAACACGACTTTTACTAAATGGTGCGAATGGGAATGCATACATATATGACTAATAATTCTAAAGATGATCAAAAACTTGAATAGAACTCAATAATACGTGACAAAAGATCAGTTCATAAGTTACGGCTCGATTAATTGGTAGATAGCTCTCGGGCTGCATATGAGAAACCAGTTAATATTTCATTCTCTTCAGCTTGAACGCAATTTAAAAAATCATTTGAATTTACATTTGCATGTAGAGCTTGCAAAGAATAGAAATAATAGATATTTGTGGAGACTTCTCCATTAAATTAATTTTTTTTTATTAAAAAAAAAAGTTTGCTAATAGTTTGTTACCCAATTAATAAAATTGGAATTACTTGTTACTTCTGTGGGCTTAAATATCTTTAGAAACTTTTATCCGTCTAGGTAAAGAGAAAGATTGAACCGTACTTTGATTTTCAACTCAATCAATAATCACTATAAAAAGCAAGCAAGCAAAAAAGACCTAATATTTATTTTTTAAGCTTTACGAATTCTGTCTGAAACAAGTAGGATTTGTATAGCATAAGCGATCCACAATAAACCATATAATCGCCATTTTTGTCTTCAAATATGCATAAATAACTGGGCATTAAAGAGAGATTTGCAAAACGCATCTAAATCTATTTAAATAAATAAAAGTAGGGCTATTTGTCGACTGATATAGAACTGACTGATATATATTCTAAAACAGTAACAACATTAATACAACGAGCAGTTGTACATACGACGCATTCCCGCGAAATGATCGTATGTCGAAAAATGTAATTTTACAGGAGAAGCTTGTTTTAATTTTTGTATTGTAATCTAGTATATATACGGTTAAATTAAAGTAGATTTACTCCGAAACTAGAGCAAATTCAGTTGTTATTTTTTGCAAGTGAGACAGACGTTTTTTAACCGTTCTGCATTAAAATACCAATTTCGCAAAAAATCAACATACGATACTTTCGCGGGAATGCGACGATAATTCGATTCATTAATCGATGTCAATAATACTGATCTCTAAATAGATCATCTTGGCCTGAAACAAAAGTCGAAATTAAGGATGTTCTGCTAATGCCGAATGAATACAATTCGGAAACTTATGGCGTTATCGATTTCAATGAATTATCGCCACTCCCATATTTTAGCCATCAGGGTGCGTATGTACTGCCCATGCGCAAAACACGGCAAACTATTCGCAGATGACAGTTCCTGTATGCGCTGCTGTATAGTATACAGCGAGTGGGCATGTCAAGGAAAGGCTGAGCCGAAGATGAAAATTTAATGCACTATAAAATATGTTGACTGCCTTGCGTCGCAAAATTCGGCTAGGAATGCAGCGAACGGTTCTAATTGCGGTCCTGTTGGCGGTTGGCGTCTTCAGCTATGCGTTCCTCAACTTATCCTTCTGCTTTAAGCTAATGTCTCACAGGAGCCTCACGCACATGGTAAGGAAGAAAATCTGCAAGCTATTTATATGTCGAGCATCGACTATATGTACATACATATATTATTTGTGGGGCAGTGCCAGAAGTATGAGCAGCACGAGTTCAGCGGATCCCTCTGCGAGGAGCTGTGCAGCAGCCAGACGGCCTTCGACAACTTCCAATGTCCGTTGAACGACATGAAGACCATCTTGTTTACGGCTGAAAAGAATGGCGACATGCTCGCCGTAAAGGTAGGTCAGTTTGATATTAGGACTTCAGTTGCCATGACTACTACAGTTGGCATTTGCACGCAGCTGGCGAAGCACAACGACGACGACTTGAGCTGGACGAACAGCAAGGGCGAGGAGATTTACCCAAAAATCGAGGAGTTCCACGAGATTGTCAAGCTGCACATCATCCTGGCGTACAATGTGACATTGGATGATAATATGGTAAGCATCTGAAGTTCTCATAAAACCAAATAGCTAACTTTGTTCATCTCGTGTGTCAGATACGCGCCCTGGTCAACCAGGAGATTGCGGATAATAACTCACAGCAGATGGTTAGCTTTTGGCGCTTGTTCAAGGACAACAACTACATGATGGGCAAGCTTTTTGACGAGGACTCCGTGTTTCCGGCGGTGTTGGGCTCGTGTGGCCCCTACTATGCCACGGAGGGCTTGGAGATCGTGCAGGCTAATCCCAGCATCATTCAGTATCTGTGAGTAAATGCCAAACATGTATCATTCACATCTGGCTAAATCTCTTTTGCGTACCTGACAGCTCGTCCAATAGACAGCAGCGCCTGAAGCACGCTATCAGCATCATGGAGTACATATTCCGGCTGGAGGAGATGAAGCCGGAGCCGCTGCGTATGTGCAAGATGCAGGTGAATCGCTTCGGACTCACGCCCGACAGGCGCCTCAAGTACCAAAGCGCGGAGCACGTCTATGTCGAGAGCTACCTGGACAAGCGCATATCCAATGGCGTCAAGTGCCACAACAATCAGGACTGCAGCTTCCACTCCTGTCGCGGACTTTGCGACGCAGAGCGCCAGGCCTGCACACATATCCAGCAGAACAACAACTTTCAGATATTCTGCGAGCACGTCCTCTTGGGCAGTGGAACCTTCCAGCCAGGTCTGCTGAGTGGCATACGCTTGCCGCGCTCGCTGCAGAAGCTTGTGAAGATGTGCGTGCAGCCGCCCAAGGAGCATCAGGTGCCAGGCCGTCGCCAGGCGCCCAGTCTCCAGCTGGCGCTCAGGCTTTACAATGAGCTGAAGCAGCTGCTGCAGGCGGTAATCACGGCCTCCGGCTCGGACGTTGAGGTGGACAGTCAGAGCTCTCGGCTGGGCCAGCGAGGAGGCGCTTAGCTGGCCAGGATGCACATGTAGTAGAATTGGTAACTACGCCTGATGGCTTGCTCAACAATTGGTAGAATTTTTACAGAAATTAGATTTAATTAAGTAACACATATAGAATTAACAGAAATAAAAGTTTTTTAACATATGATAAAGCTGTTAATTTTTTTTTTGGTTTTGTGTTTTTATTTTCGTTTTAAATTGTCATAAATTATTGTTAAACTGAAACAGTTTGTTTCTCTATTGTTAAGCTTGCCGATGAAGTATTTTATTTTTCTGCAACTTATTTCGAGTTCACATTGAAAATCAATTGGCCTCGCGGGCGTTTCAAACTTCAATTAAAATTTCGTCTTTGAGAGTGCTCAAAAGTGTATTCCAAAAAGAGCTACATAAAAGTGTTGATTAGTTTTTATCACAATGACATTTTAGGTTTTCAATTTTTATATGTATTTATCATTTATTTATTCTGCCTTGTATTTTTGAAAAGTACAGCGTGCATATGCCCTATTGTTAAAATGTAGCTTGATTAGGAATCCCTCTTGATTTTGCTTGGATTCACTAATGTCACATATTTTTCTATTTTACAATAAGTTAATTTTTTTTCTTCCGGCATAGCTTTGTTTTATATTTTTCCTTGTGTTTTCATACTTTTTCTTGCATAGGCATAGATAGTCAATTATTTTAGCGTTCTAATGATTCTACCTGTAACAGAAGTTTATACAGAGGTTGTTCAATCGTTTAATCGTGGCAGATATCGAACGAAATAGTTTCGTGTGTTCTTCTCTCTTTGTTATAATTTTATAATTTAGAATTTAGAATTGTTTGTTATATGATTTAGGGCGCTTAGCATAATTAATTAATTTTAGCGCTTCCTTAAAGCCATTTCCAATGGTTTATTACAATAATCAAGATGTTTTAAGTAAATTATAAAAGAGTAGAAAAATCTAATAGATATCGTATTTGTTAGTACATGTTTTCGTTTTGCAAAAAGTGCCCTATGCGCTCAAAAATTATTACATTTTTGTTGTAGATTTATTCTCATTTGTTAATTTAGTGTTTGTTTGCTTGTTTTCTTTTTCATGCATTCTCTTATTTAAAGTACATACATTTTTTTTTCTCAATACAATTTCTAAAAACATAAATGTAGCGTTCGACTTAAACTAAACTCGAAAGGGATGCGGACTGCTTAGTCAATTATAATGGGAGCGGGGAGCGGGTGTTGGATTAATGATTTAAACGTACTGAAAATATGAACTGCCTGTCTAATTGTAAATTTTTTAAATGTCAAAATGTGGGAGTGCAAATAATATGTGCATATGGGTTCATGGTGTGTTTCTGTGTCTGTGTCCGTGTTCGTGTATGTATGCGTATGCTGGTGCTTATTCATTCTGCATTTGTCTTTATGCCGTTGTGGGCGACGCTGCTGCAGAAGCGGAGTTTGCCAAGATCGGCGGATGGGTAGCGTTCACTACACGACCTGGCGTGTGGGCATTCTCCAGCGTCTTCGAGTGCTGCAGCTGCATCAAGTAGTGCTGCTGGGTGGGCTTGTGCAGTGCCAGCTGGGACAGTGCATCATCAATGGTGAACCATTGGCGCTTGCGTCCAATGCTACGCGAGTCCTCCCACTCATCGAGCTCTTGGGTCACGTTCATTACGAACACCTCGGTACGATGCATGTGATCGTTATTCTATAAAGCATCATAAATATATATATGGAAACTTGAATTCATGAATTCATGTTGCTGCTCGATACCTCAAAGACACCCAAACAACGTCCCAGACTGCCAACAACGCCTGCCTCCTCCAGAACCTCGCGCACGGCGGTGACCGAGGGCTCTTCCTCTGGCTCGACCCCGCCGCCAGGCACAATCCACAACTCTGGACGGCGTGAAGAAGTCACCAGTAGAACCTGCAATAGATTAGAACATTATTATGCCATTTGATTTCATTTTCAACTAATAATCAAATCTCATTGTGACTGAGCCATAGATCGAACCAAAGTTTCGACGATTACCTCGTCTTCGTTCTCGGCTCGCACACAAATGCAGGCAGCTCGCCGTCTAAAGCCATCCTTATCATAGATGCGTGTAGAGTTGGGTTTCTCCTTGACCATCTGCAAGTATAAAGATATGGTTAGTGTATCGAACAATTCGCAACGATTCGGGCCATATTTCATTCAGCTTTATCATTTTATTTGTGTCGCGTTTAATTTGAATGTGCGCGCACATGAGAATCGTGATTCCCTCTTATCAGACATTCGATTGAGAGGCCGCCGGTAACTGCAGCGCCGGCTTATCAACGATTTATTTATGTGCGCTGTGTGCGTGCCTGTGCGCGTCTGTGTGTGCGTGTGTGCGTGAGCTGGGTACCGTTTGCCGTTTGTGAATTAGCCGTGTCATGAATGATGATTGAAACACTTTCGCAAACATCTGGGTGCTTACCTTTGCGTTTTTAATGTGCGGTGGCTGATAGCTGACTGCTTAGGCACTTAATGGAGAGACGGCCGCCTTGACGTCCCTTTTCTATCTCCCTCTCTCTCTCGTAGTCGCTCCCTCTATAGGCTCGCGCTCGCTGGCTTGCTCACTCACTCTCCGCCTCTTCCTTTTGCTGCGATTGCAACAAGTGTGTTTGTGTGTATGTGTGTGTGTGTGTTTCTGTTGTTGCGTTTTTCGCTATGACAGCTGCACCGGGAGCCGGTCGCTGGTCTCGTGCCGTATTTGCAGGTGCTTTTTGTTGGCTGCTGCGTCACAGCAAATAAACTGTTGTATGTCGGATTGTTCGTGTGAGAGCCGTACGTGTATGTACTGTATGTGTGAGTGCGTGTGTGTGTGTCTGTGACTGTGTGAGTTTTGTATATTGCTGTAGTAGTTGTTGTTGTTGTGTAGTAACGAAAAAAGAACTGCGCGTCGGATGGTTTAAAAGAGATGTGGGGAAAGCGAGAACAGAAAACTTGTTGAAATTAAAACGAGTACAAGAATGAAGAGGAAATAAAGCGCAGACAGGGCAGAATTATTTAACTACTTTGCAGTGGGTGCATGTTGTTGTGGTTTTTTTTTTATGTGTGTGTGTGTGTATTTTGGATGGTGCGTGTGCTCGAAGTGGGATTGTAGTTGTATTCGTGTTGCAGCTTGTTGTTGTTGCAGTGCTTTTTGTTGTTGTTTCTGTCACAGCCTTTGTCCTGCTTTCAGCTGATGTTTGGATAATCGCAGTTGCTGTGTTGTTCGATTGCAAGCCTAGCCGGAAACTTTTCGCAATTTGTTAAATTTGAGCGAGACCGACGCACAGCTGGGCCTTATCTGAGCACGAAACATGCGTTTTCCATTTTCTCGCTCCAAACACGCCCCGAAATTGTGATGAATAGCCGCGTTCGGCAAACAAACACACGTGTCACGCCTTGAACACCGTTTTTTAGTTGCACTGTTACGATTTGTAGCTGCGAGCCACTGTCAAAAGTTAACAATTTTAACAATTTCACGAATGTTGCATCGGCGAACAGCTCGACAAAGAGGAGGATGCAAAAGACAGTGTGACCTCTCTGCGGAAAACGAAACTGCCACTAATTACACCAGTGGGCAGCCCCATGCAGCAGTTGGCAACGCACTATTATATGGTTGGCAGCACTGGCTGCTTACATACAAAAGGCAACAGATGGCGGTAGCTCAAACGCCAAATGTGAAAAAGAAAGAGAGAAAACTTTTAATTTTGTAAGATTTATTCGTATTCAAGATTTAATAATTACAATAGGTAAATATTTAAGAAAATAGAATTCCTAAAATAAATCAAACCAACAAACAAACAAAATTGTATCATAAACATATTTCTTCCACCTATTTAGAATGTATAACAATATTTTAAATAAAGCTAGATTTAAACTAGATTTGCAAATTAAGTTTATTTTATCAACTTTTATTTTATAGTCAAAGTCGTTTAAAAGATCATTAAATAGAACATGCGTATCATTATGGCTTTGCTAATTAAATTGAAGGATTAATTAACACTTATATCGGTATAGTTAATATAGAGATTGAACAGATCCATATAATATCCCCTGATATTTACATCTTATATGTAAAAATCGATATTAATAGAGACTGACAAAATTAATTATTTTAAATATTCCAAACATTAATATCTCTACTAAATCGATATTTATATCCCTATATCGCGGTATGCAATATAATGTTATTGAATTTGTAAATTATTCATAACCATAATATATATCTAAATAAATTTTTCAATCTGTATTTAAAAGGGTAATTGATTACATAAAATCGAGTCGATATTAATCGATACCAATTATAATGCTGATCAACCAGATCGCGAATATATATGGTAATTTATATGATGTTGTAACATAAATATCAATTTAATCTACTGATATCGAAACTGATCAGCACTCACAAAGATATTATACTATTCAGGTATTAAGCTATGCTGGAATGGAGTAAACGACCTTCCTTTCCCATTAAACATCCATAATGAACCGTTTCAATAATCCTCGCTCACTCAGCCATCGATAGCTATCGAATCACTCGATTCACATCGATTATTCATATCGAATTAATAACAGCTTTAAGGTTGTCAACTGGCTGAGCAGGCAACGAGAAATGATTTACTGCCGCAATGGAAGACGTTACTTGAGCGCCTGCCAAAAAACCCGAAGCGGCAGCAGGGGCGGCAAGGGCGCACAAAAAGGGCGTGGCAAAGTTTATGGGCTGGGCGCCTGGAAAACTTGCTTTGCATTTGTTGCAGTCGCTGAGCTCTGGGTTTTGGATATTCGGTTGTAAGCTTTTAATGCAACTACTTAGCGTAGGATAACTGAAGGCCCCCTCTGGGAGGAAGAGCGGGGCAGTGGCCGGGCGGGGGCTGTATGTCCTTGGCTGGCCTTTAGCATTTACTGCCAGCCTCTGCGTTCGCATTACAGTCGCGACACATTGGCTGCCATGGCCCGTGGCCCGTATCCTGCGTCCTGGTCCTGTGCCGCCTCCTGCATCCTGCATCCCACATCCTGCTCCCTGTGTCTGTTGCTCTGCCGCTTTTTGCTGCTCTGGCAAAGCAAATTGCTTATTTCTTAATGCATTGCCATTTCCTTTTGGCTTTCTTAGACATTCCCAGATCTCCTCTCTCCCTCTCTCACTCTCTCTCTATCTCCCTCTGTGTGCGATTCCAATGAATTATGAGCTTCATTTCTTTCTTTGGGTGTTTGGCTCGACGTGGCCATGCAGAAGTGTTAAACTGTTTAACACGCGTTTTTCTCGCTCTTTGACTTTTGATTGCGTTTAAATTTAGACACCGAAATCTTTATTGTTTTTTTTCCCCCTTGCTCTTAACATTCATATGAATTAATTGAGCCGCAGATCAATGAATTTCTGTCTCTGATACTCTGATAACGTTTCTTTTTAGTTTAGTTGAAGTTTCAGTTTCAGTTTGAGTATGTCTGGCTCTCTGCCTCAATCTGTGGCACGCTTTGTTGCACATCAATTCAGAGCCATAAATTTGCAATAGGCGTCCTCTTGGCTCGCAAACTTTTTCTACTTGATGCGTCCGGCGACCACAATCGAATCAAGTGCAAAAATTTACAATCTGCCAGGGCTGCATTGTCGCATTGAGCTGCCAATTGGCACCAGGGCTGCAATAACTAAAGATTGAATACATTCCTTCGTCATTTAAAGACTTCAAATAAGGTGCGCGAACTAAGCTACTGGGACACTATAAAAACTGAACCGAAATCAAATAAATATTTAGCTGACTAAACGATTGAATGTCTGATTGATAAACGGTTTTAATTTGAGCTTTTGTCGTTTTCTGTCCGGAAAGTGAAATTCCCAACAGAATTTACCACTTTTCGCGTCTCTGCAGCTCAGAATATATTTTGGAAAATTGTAATATCAGATATCTGATATCATTCAAATTTATTTAAGCTGTGAAATTTTGTGAAACATCGATAAATCCATAGCCAAACATCATTCCAAAAATTATCCTAAGAGAGTTATTTAAATAGTTCTTAAAAACTAATGAATAATAATCAATGTTTTATTATTCCGTTATTTAACTTTTTACGTGTAAGCAAAATGACGAAAAGAATTGTTTATAAATCAAATTATTCAATCGATTTATCTCAAATATTTCACTTGCGTAAAATATAAATATATATAATGATTATATATAAATATATCACTTCAATTCCTTTAAAACCTCTCAAAAGACCATAAATGTAGTTTACAAATTTATTTATTTAATTATTTTTTTATTTTTTCAAAGTACAGCAAGTGTGAAAATAAAACTCAGAATTATTTTGCTGTGGCCCTAAATGACCGCCTTTTGTCTTGCATATGACCTTAAGAAGGTCCAGTAGCGATACGGTCCGAATTAGCCTTGGCAGTATTTTGATTCACTTAATTCGCCTTATTCAATATTTGTAAAAATATTTTCTTTTTATTTTAAATTATATATAATTTTGGGCTAGTGCCAGCGCGTATAGGTTAATAATACCCATTAGATCTTAGCAATACATCTAATCTTGTAATTAAAAGTATTTTAATATGTATATATGCTTAATTTTAAATGCTGAGCGCGTTGGAAATGGGAATTCGAGATATTATTGATGTATGTGGGTGTCTCAGAAAGTACTTAGATACATATATTCTTCATTAGGACATTACATGAAAGGATGTACGTATCCCCATCTGTCTATTAAATTTACTATAGACTCGTGTAATGAATACAGGATTTAGATAATAACGTAGCCGGAACCTCCATCTCTATAGCATTTGTACTTGCTCATCTTACAGATCTTTTTAATTAAATGGTTAAGTTCCACTCTACTCTACTCGAGCTATCAAAATAGTGCAAGTTCCGTTACGGGATATCATAATATATGTATTTATATTGTATACTTTTTCTTTTGCTTAACGTTTAGATTAGACTTCTTCTCTTAACTTTCGAGTATCTGTATCGATGCCAATGATTGCTCTTTGGCATCTTATATCGTGTCATCTCTGGCGTTACGTATACGACCCGTTGCATGCTGAGATTTGTGGCTCTTCAATGGAGTTGAGTTGAGTTGAGTTCAGTTGAGGTGCGGCATTGCGACACTTACTGCTAATTGACAGCGAGTCGAAATTCAATCAGTCTGCTCTCATTCAAAGGCAATCCAAAGCTGCTGACTGCAGTCCTGCCGCAGGTGTTGATCCTGTCATTAATTTGCTATCGCTGTCATCAGCAGCCGCAGCGGTTGCTGCGCACGTGCTGCCAATGCTCAATAGAACGCGGCACGGAGTGTTGGCGGTGCGGATGCTTGGCTATGCTGGCTGGCTGACTGGCTGGCTGGCTGGCTGGCTGACTGGGCAACATATTGTTTCATTTTGGGCTACTCTTTCTGCTGGCCCGCAGAACAAAGGTTCACCTACGAACGCAATTTGGCAACAAATTCGCAAAGCAGACAACGGACAACGGACAACGGACGACAGACAACAGCAACAGCAACAAACAACAGAAACAACAACAATGAACAGAATTATACAATTTATGCGATTTACGAGCTCCGGCAGTTCCTTCAGTCCAGCCTCAGCTTCAGCTCCTGGTGCTGCGCTCGTTCCTACTCCGCCCGCTCACCCGCTCGCCCTCTCCTTCTGTGCCCTTTTTGCCACGACAGCCGCAAAACTATTTCTATTGCTGCGGCGCCGTCGCCTTTGCCTTTGCCATTGCCTTCGCCTTTGCCCCTGCCCCAGCCCCAGCCCCTGCCCCTGCCCCTGCCATCGCCACTGGGCAAGGATATGCCGTATTTCCGTTTACATAATAAATTTGCTAACCACGTTCTGTCGGCGTCGGGACCTGGGCCACCAGCTCCACCAGCGCCGCCAGCGTCGCTTGGCATCAAGTGCCTGCGGTTGGCATTTTTGTTGCATGTTTTTCTTGTTTCTCTCAGTGTATCTCGTTGTTGTTTTTGTGTGTCGCCATCGCCATCGCCCGGGCCACCTTGCAGTGCCAGTTGACAAAAGGCGGCGCAAAAAAATTGGACAGCAGCCGCAGCCGCAGTCGCTGCCGCAGCAGGCGTTTGAATTGAGTTCTGCATTTGCTTTTCCTCAGTTTATAAACTTTAACTTGGAAGTCACAGCAAAGCAGAGCAGAGCGAAGCAGAGCAGAGCAACGCCAAGCCAAGCCAAGACAAGCCAAGCACAGCACATATTGTGTCGCTCTGGCAAGTGTCGCCTCCACCTGCGCCTCCCCTGCCCCGCTGCACCACTTCCTTTCCACTTGATTGACGGAAGTCAGCGGCGCAACAACTTTTGCTTAATCATTGGGCGGCGCTCGCCTTGCCTCTAATTAATCTATTAAATGCAAACCAGAGACAGCGCCTACAAAAAATGCGTCGTCGAGGAAGTCATCTTACAGCCGCTTGTTGGCCAGGCCAGGCCCGGGCAGGCAGCGAGCCCCAGCTGCAGCCAGTCAAACGAGCTGCTTCCGTTTTCCGCTGGAAGTGAAATCTCTCAACGGACGTCATAAAAATGCCAAAAGGCGAGCAGC